GCGCGAGGGCTGGCCTGCTCGGGGCTCTTCCCCACTGACACTGGCTGGAAGGCTTCAGGAGGGGCCTGCTCTTCTGTTAGCTCACTGAGCTTCTGCAGTTGTGGCTTAATGAGGTTTAAAAAGGGCTTGTATCCAGGGCTACAGAGAGGAAAACAGACGTGAGCGCTCTGCCGCCAAACCCCGCACGGTATGGCGGGGCTAGAGTGGGGCAGGAGTGAGTCATGGCCCCCCAACCCCGCACTGTATGGTGCTGCTAGAGGGGGTCAGGAGCAGGTCATGGGCCCCCAATACTGAATGGTAACGCAGATCCAGAGGGGGGCAGGAGTGGGTTGTGGCCCCCCAACCCTCCACGGTATGGCGGGGCTGGTGCGGGGCAGGAACGGGTCATGGCTCCCCTTCCTTTTGTTTCACAACTGAAAATCATATTCTAAAACTAAGAGCTTCAGGAAACAGCTAAGCTGACCTAAGGCTCTGAATCCTGCTGGCTCTGAACCCTTGGTAAGAACAGGACTAGACTCCAAGGGGTCCAACCTTGATTCCCAGTTATTCCAACTTTGAGTAAGCTCAGTGCAAGGCAGGCTTAGGTTACAACCTGCCCGCCCGCAAAGTTGGAATCTCATGCTCTGGTAAAGGCTCACACACTGCGTCATCTGAGGTCAGGGCCCGCACTGCAACTGTCCCCCCTGTGCCAGCTGTCTTGGGCCTGAACAGAGGTGAGCCATTCACTTCTGCATAGGGGAGGCCTCCTCCCTTCCTCAGGCCCGGGCAGCACTCACCAGTCTGTGAAGGCCCATCTGTCCACGGCCCGCAGCCCCATCTTGATGTTCTGTAACATCTCTCCATCCACCTCTGACGACTGCATGAGAACCAACGTCTGGTTGATGACCGAGGCTTCTCGGAGAATCAGGCCGATGACGATGCACCAGTCCAGACAGCCAGCCTCCATGAAGATGTGCAGCAAATACCTGCAGGGGAGCGGGAAGCCAGTGAGCACCTCGCAGGAGACCCAGCGAGCACCTCGGAGGAGACCCAGCGAGCACCTCGCAGGAGACCCAGCGAGCACCTCGCAGGAGACCCAGGCAGAGCAGGGAACACGGCCACATGCAAAGGTGTGCGCTGGAGGTGGAAACTCACCGCAGCTGGACCTGGGACTTGTGAGGCCCTTTACTGGCCAGCTCCATGGAGATGTGCTCCAGCTCCGACTGGGTCAGGCTGAGTATGGAGAAGTTCTCGTCCACCATCGTCCAGTCCCCATCCACCATGGAGCTGCTCTCAGTCAGGTCTGTCGCTGAACCGATACTGCATTCGTCACCTGAGGAGGAATTGCCAAGAGCTGCGGACCAGCTCCATGCGGTACGCTCGGTGCCCTCAGTTGATGACTGGAACTGGCCCAAGTGCTCGGACGGGGTGGTGACTCTGTCCTCACTCTGCCAACCCCAATCCCACAAGTTGTGAGAATGGGCACTGCCATGCCCGTCTGAGGGACTGTGAGGTGGTTAAGAGCCACCAGTTTCTCTTTGCCTTTAAGTATTTTCCGTCCCACTACCCGGAAGTGATGGACTGCCTGCAGGAACCCCCACGGGGAGAGGATGGTCAACTGCAGTCTGTCCCACAGGCGGGCCGGGACTTCCTCTCGGGTGAGACAAGGCCGCCACAGTGCAGCCAGGGGACCTGCAGCTCCTCCTCAGGGACACTCCCTGGAGAAGAGTGAAGGCTGCTGTGGCCTTTACCTTTACTGGACAGCGGTGACAGGAAGGCATCCTGCGTCTGTCCTCCATAGGCCGAGTCCATCTCCTGATGGCTGGGGCCGAGGCTGCCGAACCAGCTCTGACTCCGCTGGACGGTGGAGACACCAGCGTCCATCTCAAGGTTTAAAAAAGGACCAGCTGACTGAGACTGTAGTAGCTGTTCTCCTGCAGGGCAGGTCCCAAGCCAGGCAACAACAGGAACAAAAGAGGGAGGAAGGCTAAGATGCACACACTCCCGTTTCAGATTCCCCTTTCAGTCTCCCCTCCACACCATCCAAAACCAGGAGTGAGTGGGGGCTGCAAAGGAGTGCCCCGTCCACACTGCAGTCACCAGCCTCCAGCATCTTGAATGAGGTGAAGCTGTGTTCTACTGACCTTCTTAGTACTTCCCTTGCTTTTTTTCAAGAGCTACACTAAGAGCCTTAATCTTTCTTTAAGCAAAATATGCAGCTTCACTATGTGCTCTCTTAGCTATCAAGATGGACTGGCCCACCTCCCAGTGCCACCTCACAGTGCAGCCTACGGCTAGGCAAGGGTGGTCACTTTTATTGTCAGCTAGTTTGCAGCTAGCTGATACTGACAGAAGAGTAGTCAACTTCTGAGTTTGACTGTGGTCACAGGACACAAACTGACCTCATTTTACATCTTTGGTTGAATGGTGCTGTCTTCAGTTGGCTCTAAATTGATTTTGAGTTTAGAATGAATTCCTTGAATAGGACTAATAGCAAAACAGGTAAACACTTGGTGTGAAACCCAACTCTGCTGGTACAATGGCCTGCAGTCCATTACCTGTCCGGTACTTTCCGTTCTTGAAGGGAGAACTGATCGAGGAGGCTGGGATGATGGGCAGTGGCCACAAGAAATCTTTGTGGAGTCTCTTGAGGGCCAGCACAAAGTTGTCCACTCGCGCAGCCCGGCTCCGCTCCTTACACAGCCAACCAATCAGCTCAAAGCCCCAGCTGGGCAAGGAAGCAGCCGAGGTCCCTGAGCCGCACTTCCTCCAGGAGGCGCCGCGCGTGTCTCCAGAGCATCATGTCGATGTACATGTTCTCGGCACAGTCGCTGTCCCTGCTCGACCTGGGGTGGGGGTGGGAGGCAGAGGAAAGCTGTAGGGGTCCTTCCTGGGGTGGGCAGGGAGGGATTACCTCCCTTGGAGGGCAGCAAGGACAGCGGTCTGACCGAAAAGACAGGCCCTATGACTGACTGGAGGGCTGCCTCGTTTGAACTGAGTGAGGTCTCTGCCCGCTCCTCACGCAGCTACAGCAGCCCCCTTAGCTGTATTAAGGATGGTCTATGATGGGAAAGGCAACCCGCACGCAGCGAGCACCAGCCAGGATCCCAGCTCTGGGTGCATTGCCTTCTGTGGCTGCATCTTATGGGGGAGTGGTGGAGGGGAGGGTCAGTGGTCCCTGAGAAGAAAGCTGTGAAAACGAGCACTGCATGCTGGGCTCCGCAGCGAAACGGAAAAGGGCCAGCGTCTGTCTAGGGATTAAGCTCAGAAGGGTCAGGAAAGGAAGATAAACAGAAATGGCAAAGACAAGGGGGGAAGTGGGAAGAAAGGTCACACAGAGGAGATGCAATCAATCAATGTCACCGAACAAAGTGCATGAACCCTGGAAAGCCTTTTTTTCCGTAAATGTAGAAAATGTTAGGAAAAAAAAGAGGTACTACCACCAGCAGGAATATATGGGAGGACCTGGCAAACGAAGGCTAATTCCTGAGTGGAGAGAGCCCTGAGCCATACAGCCTCCAGGCCATGCTGCTTCTCGCTATCCCCAATTAGTAACCCCACAAGTGCGCCCGCCAGACTTGTGTGTGGTACAGGGGGGTAGTCGGAAAGGAAGAGAAACAGCTCCTTGGAAAAGGCTTTAGTATTAACATCTGACTTTCAGAAGCGATTTAGCATTTAGAGCAGGTACACCAAACACAATCTGCTGCCTAGATCCCTGTGAGCCCGGAGGCGGGCACAGGGCCTTCCGCCGTGGGTGCCAGGCCCACAGGAACGGAACAGGCAGCCAGACCAGGCGCTCTCCCCGAGAGCCAGCCTCACTGATGCCCTGAAAGGTGGCCCGAGCTGCAGCAAGCATCAGCTTTCTTTCTGAATCCTTTACCTTTTACCAGAAGGACCCGTTGGCATACTCAGTGTTTTCTGTAAGCCGAATTTACTTGCTGGAATATTCTCAGCCGACTGGGATAAGCTGATGCTCCGATTCCTGAAGAACTCGAATCCACCACTTGAGCTGGGTTCCTGTGGTCACACAGCACATGCAGGGCAGTTAGAGAGGTGCCAGCTAGTGTCCCACCTGAGCAGCAGTAAGGCTGGGCAACGGACCTGAGCTGTGGGCGTGGACGGAGGCGTCTCTGATTCTCCAGAGCCGATGGCTTTAAGAAACCGAATCATGTGTCGGCAGAGGCCCCACCTGCCTTGTTCCAACGCGGTGCTGAAGAGCAGGGTGGCATGCTGCCTGCTCACGGCGGGGACTTCCATGTTCTGCAGAAACAACCAAGGAGAGGGCATGCCTCTTAGACCACACGTACCTGGGACTGAAACGAGCAGCTTTTCTCTCCGCAGTTCCTGACACCTGAGAAGGGAACAGCAGCTCCAGCGGGGTGAGGAGGCCCGCACGCTGCTGTGCAGAGACGAGCTCTGGGCGCCCACCATGTACCAGGTCCCGTGTCCACCACCTTACAGACACCTCCCTCCTCACTTAGTTTTCACAGAGAATATGAAGAAAGCCTGTCCTCGATGAAAACTGAGGGTAAGCCACTTGCTGAAAGGTCACTTGGAAAAGCAGGACTCCATCAACCAAGGTCTGCAGGCCCCCCAAAGCTGGCAGGAGGCTCCTGCGACAGTCTCCTGAGATGTGACGAGTGGCCTTCACTGCGGGCTCTGCCTCCGGCATCCTCCCTCATCCTGGCCCAAACTCAAGCAACTGCCTGTGCTGCTGCCACTGTTGATTCTCTGATAAACAGAAAACCCTGCCCCAGTGTTTCACCACTGTACCACCAAAGAAAGCTCTGACATTATCTGTTATTCCACAGCAACCGAGGAAACGTACCAGAGGACAGGATCTCAGCCGTACACATATCACTGAAAGTCAAATTTTAGCTCAAGGAAGCTAAAATATAGTAAGGACTGAATTTAGAAAGAATGCAAGACTCTGAAAATCTCCTCTAACTTCAGTCAGTTCTCAAGAGCAGAAAAGCTGTTAGGAAATTTGCCTCAAGCTGTGCAGTCAATCAAGTTTGCTAGTTTCTTGTAGCAAGGCAGACCATTTTATAGTAATTGGAAAGAACCATTATGTGTGATCTATCAAATCCAGATTAAGCCAACAGAAGCAACAAAATCCACTTTTGTCAAATACGTTATGAGGCGTCTCAAAAGGCCATCTTTTTGAGGGTCACTTCGGGGGTCTCACTGGAGCCCCCCAGGAATTCCACACACTGCAGGTGAACACAGACACTCAGGGAGAGGGCGCAGAGAAGCTCATAAAGTGATGGATGCCGCTCTCCCCTCTAGAGCTCATTCCCGTCCCAGGCCCAGTAAAGGAGAACACACCCTCCCACCACTGCTACCTGGCGGTGTTCAATGACCTGCCAAAGCTGGAGTGGACGAGCCTCAGGGCCATCAACAAAGGGAAGCCATACGCACTCACCACCTGCCCCTACACAATGCCAACACAAGACACTTCCAAGTTTAAAACTCTACAGGCCAGAGCAGACCGGCCGGCCACACAGTGTTTCCACACTGCCACATCCTTCCCTGGTGGCTCTGAACTGCTGACTTCGGTAAGCAGCCAACACTCTGAGAACACTGCGTCACCAGAGTCCTTTTTCTATGTTTACGCTCACCCGTCTCGCCTTCTCCAGGAAGATCACTGTTACCTGTAAGATAATGAGATACGAAGCAGCTGTGTCCAGATCCTGCGCCATCAGGCATTCCTCAAACAAGTCCTTGGGGTTGCCCACGGCTGCAAACAGGTAGTTCCACAGTGCGTACTCGGTCTTCCTGGCACAGTGGACCACTGTCTGCAGGAAGAGCGGGAACTCGGTGATGAACTTGGCCACCGTGGGGAGCAGCGGGTCGGGAATGGGCTCCCGTGAGGTAGCTTCCTCCTCCAGCACTTCGTGCAGCATGAGCTCCAGCACGTGCGGGAAGTAGGGCAGCGCGGCGCACGACTGGGCCAGCAGCAGGGCCTGCTCCCCGAGGTTCCTGAGCAGCAGCTGGCGCAGGATGTGGTGGAGGTAGATCTGGGAGGTTCTCTCCACGACGCAGAAGGGGAACAGCCCCTCCAGCTGCTCCCGGGCGCCACTCCGAGCACACAGAGAGTCGTACAGCAAAGTGTCGTTGACAGCACCGAGGACCAAGGCGTCTTCGAACAGCACAGCCAGGGGGTAGATGTTGATGTGGAAAGGCAGCATGATGCGCTGGGACAGGAACGAGTGGGGCTTGCGGTGGTCCCGGGGGAAGAGCGGCAGCCAGACCTTCATGCCCGAGCCGCCACAGCTCAGCCACAGGGCCTCCAGCAGGTGGCGCTTCTGCTTATTGGCACGACAGGTGGTCCAGACGTTCTCCACGGACTGGGCCAGGACCACGGGAGGGCAGAAGGGCAGCTGGAGAGGCAGAGGCAGAAGCAGGGTCACTGAGGCCTAAAGCAAGTAGAGCAGCTCTGCGGGCAGAGTGGGGGATCTAGGGCAATAACAGCACCCTGCCTTTCACAGTACCCCAACTGAAAACCCACCAGCCACCTCCTCCAGTCTTGCCTCATTTCCCTGGCAGCAGTTCCAGCGAGGGTAATGCAATGTCATGTAGTCAGTTCTGAAGCATGGAGACCCCACTGCTGGGGTTCCAGGAGGAGACTGCGTCACCTCCCTCCCATTGAGCAGCTGGTGAGTTCGAACTGCCAACCTTCTTCACTTAACCTACTCTGCCACTAGGACTCCTTGTTTGGAGTAAGATCATCTTACTATCATTCTGGGCCCCAATCCTTCATTCTTTTCAGCCACTCCCGCCCCCCAAGGCTCAGGACTCACTCCATGGCCAGCCTCGGCCTGCCCCTGCTCCGCCCCAGCCCCGTGACCGCTCTGCCGCCGGCCCCAGACTCACAAGCTTCCTCGGGTTCGGGCTGCTCTCCTTCTCCCGGATCTGGGGCCCGGACCGGTCCCTCTGCATCATGATGAGCTGGCCCGCGAGATTCAGCATGATGCTCTCTGCATCCCGAGCCTGAAGGAGAAAGAAACCCCACGTTCTCACTATCAGGTAAGACTCTGGCAGGTACTCAGCCCAGTGGTGTCGCAGGTTGTAGAGCCAACAATGCTTGAGGGTGTATGTGGACAGGCCCTCTTGTAAGGAGTGATGGGAGTTCAGATGTGATACAAACAATGCGGGTGAGAGCCGAGTTACACTGAAGGGCCTCGTTAACAAGGCGGCACCTGCCAGAGGAGGCCCAAGGACCAGGTGGGACCTGAAGGATAAGGGAGGTGAGAAGGTGGAGGGAAGGGACTGGTGCACCATGTGACAAGAGCTTTACTGATGTAAAAACAGAGTGGACAGGAAATATAAACCTGCCCAGGATCTCCCCTCAGACAGGTTCGATGTGGATACGCAGTGTGGACGCCATTGGTGTAATGTCAGGAGACTTGGAAGTGATGATACAACCTCAGTTCTGGTGGGAATGCCGGAAGTCAGCATTTTATGTGGAAACTATGAGGTTATCCTCTCTCGCCTCTCACAGTTACAACCATGGCAACCTCTGTATGCATTCTCCTTCTTCCCACCTTCATTTTCCCTGTCAAAGTTCAGGCCACCAACATGGTTACCTTGATCACTACACAAGCCTCCCAGCTGCACCGCCTATGCCCAGTTTGGCCCAAACCCGGCCATTTCCTCTTACAGAGCTTGATATGTGTCGAGTAGGAACCAACTCCCAGCTGCCCCTTCAGTGGGTTTAGAGGCTGTAAATCACAAAGGAAGAGACTGCCCCTCTTTCTCAAGAGTGGCTGGTAGAGAGGAACCATGTGACTTTGGGTCGGCAGCACAAGCCTTACCAAGGACACCAGAGCTCCCCTTACAGGGCTCAGATGTATTAAACACACCGCTGGCGAGACAAAATCTACAGCTGCCAGTGCGCCTACAAAACTCCCTCCCTGCCGTTCCAGCCACCATGAAATTCCTTCTGTTCTCATGTGCCATACTCTCTTATCTATGGGGCACTGGATCACTGCTCTCTCTGCTTGGAATTCTCCCTGTTCACTTCGCTCTGCTCGCTCTTCAGGTTTCCACTGAAGTCCCTCTGTCCACACTGGGCCGTGGCTGTGCTCTCTCACGGGGACCTGGACTTCTGGTGCACAATGATACTTCTTTATGCCAGGGGATGTTTAATGCCTGAGCAGAAACTGTATCTGGGTTGCAGGATATTACAACCAGGCATCTTCACACAGACATGCATAACAAACAAACAAACAAACAAACAAACAGCTCTGGACGTCAGCTTAACACACGCAAACGTACCTGCTGTGGCATCTTCAAGGTGATCCCATTCTCTGTGCTCACTGACGTCAGCGTGACAGACACAACCAGAAAAGGGTGGGGAATGTAGCGAGACATGGAGACCTCCTGGAGAACCTGAATACTGGCAGTAGTGTTTGGACTGCAAAAACCAAAGAACCCCACGTGCCCAACATCAGTGCTGGCAAGGCGTCCCTTTTGCTCCACGTGCTAGATCGTGAAGCCCGATACTCAAGACAGTCAAGCGCCACCCACCTAGGGCCTCTCCTCCCCAGATTTCCCTAAAGCAACAGGACAGTTGGGATGAGGGATTGGGATGGAAAAAGCTAGGGAAGAAGCAAAAGGATTTAAGGTGGGAAAAGCCATATTGGTTGTGAAAGGAGCTTGACCCTAAGCCCAAGGGCTAGAAGGTTTATCTTTACACGACCCCCTTAATCACTGTTTTACTTCAGTAAGCATATACTTCATGATATTAAAAGAAAAAAAGAAAACAAAACACCCCAAAACCCCACTAAAAAGAAAATAAAGAGTCAGAAGACTTGAGCTGAATGCCATGAGACAGCCAGAGGCCAGGAAGAATCCAGGTGGCATGCAGCAGTGACAGGACCTTGGGTGTGTTTGTCCCCAACTCTAGCCATAAGCCCAGGAGAAGCGCTGGTGACAGGCCTCCTCAAAGCATAAAGCTGTGGGGCCACTCGGTAGTCCCAGAGAATACAACAAATGACAGTAAGCACTTCATTTCCGAGGTGTGCAGAAAGAAGGAAAAATCACCTCTGGGTTTACCTCATCCCTAAATAGATTTCCCCCCAAATGAATCCAGGAAGATTAGCAGAAGTTAATGCAGGTTACTTCTAAATTTTGCAGCCAGAAAAGGGCTCCCTGTCCCTGAAGCTCTCTGCGAAGGACGCACACTAGAGAAGTGGAGAAGCTTCTGTGAGAATGGGAAGCTACCGTGGGAACAGGGCTCGGGGCTCTACTCACCCCTCGGGTCTCCTTTCAATACTGTAAAGGCATATTGAACAGTCTGCTCGGAACACTATCACCACGTCCCGGAAGACACTCAGCAGCAGGGTTTCTGTCTGTGCCTTGGTGACGTGTGCAAACGCGTTGTCCAGATTTGACGTCCGTAAGTACACTCTGAGCTGCAGGAAACAGAACAAAAAGAGGCTGTGAAAACCTGATGACAGGCTAAGGACACACTGCGGGGACTGAAGGGTCTATGGGAGCTTTGGTGTTAAAAGCAAAACCATAGCTGTAGAGTTAATTCTGACCCACTGTTACCCTCTGTTGAAATTTGAGGCTATAAATCAGAAGGGAGAACACTGTCTCATCATTCTTCCTTGGAATGGCTGGTGGATTCAAACTGCCAATCTTTTACTCAGTAGCCCAACACCTAACACACTACATTACCAGGGTCCTTCAGTAATAAGCAGGAAATACTTTCTTTATGCAGACTCTTCTTGTTATGTAGCATCGAGTTGGAACAGACTCACAGCTGATCCTCCAGCTAGATTTCAGAGGTAGTAAATAGAATGAGAGGAGACTGCTTATCTTTCTCCCATGGATTCAAACTGCGTGCCTCTGGGCTGGCAGAAGATCTTCCTTTTATGCAGATTAGGGCCATTCTAATGAGTAAATTGGGGGCCTAAGGGGCAAGGAACTGCACTGCCAATCCAAGGCAGGTGAGGTGGTTCGAATCCACCAGAACCCCGCAGGAGAAAGATGGGCACTCTTCTCCTGTGCAGTTTATGGCCTCTGAAACCCACCGGAGGGCCAGCATGAGTCAATTACGACTCAGTGGCAACGAGTTCAGGGTTCATGCAACAAATAACCAAACTATAAAAGGATTAAAATGTGAACTGCATTATTATAACTGCTGAGACCAGCAGTTATTAAAATATATAAATGTATAATCAATAAATTAAGGTATCTCTAAAGGCAACCATCCTTATCCACTCTTTTACTTTAATATTAAATTCTTACAGAGATTATCTAATGGCTAAAGTATTTAGCAAGGGTGATTTTAGAAGTCCTGATTAATACTTGAAAAGAACAGCAATGGGCTGCCTAGGGGGTGTACTTCATGGCAGGCTGCCCTGCTGACAAAAAACACACCTAAAAAACAAGAACACCCTCAAAAAAACCAAACCGCCAAAAATAACCAGAAATGAAAATCCTACTAGCTAGAAAGCATCTAATTTGTGATTCGAAACAGAAAATGTTTTGCTCTGTTTTCAGCAACTTATTTTCATTTAAAATTAAATAGCATTCACAATCTTGTGGAAATTTGTTATTACTGAGAAAGATCTATTATTTTTTTTACCTCTTCTTGACGGTCACTTATGTTGTAACATGCAAGGACAATGAAATCATCCCACCAGGCTAAGCCACCTGTCACAATCATATTTTGTTCCTTTAAAAAAAAATTGTACTTTTATTATCAGAAATTACAAGGAAATAATACACACTTAGAAAATACTGAGACAATGAAAGCTCAAATTACTTCTGCTCTACACATTCTTTCCAATTTAGTATTGTTCTAGAACTTTTATCTTTTTAAAAAAATTTATTTTGTGATTTTAATACAGAAAAGTTAATTTTCATTCACTCACTGTTGTACATCTTCCTCCTTCCCCCTCCCCCAGTTCACATTTTTTTTAAAAAAAAAAAAAAAACCAAAAAACACATTCATTCACTGTTGCACAATTTTCTTCTTACTCCCTACCCCTCCCTCTCTCCTAGTCCTCTTTGCAATGAACCTCTTATTCTGGACCACTATCTTACATTTAATACTTAACCGTATACTCCTTTTAAATAGTTCTCTCCCTCATCTGTTCTAATACAGTGTTCATTATCTATCTATTCTTTTCCTATTCTCCTCCCAACCACCCATGTCAGTTCTGCTTTATAACAGTGGTGTTATGCAGTATTTTTCCTTGTGAGACCAAGATATTTCACTCAGCATAATGTTCTGCAGGGTCACGCATGTGGTGTAATGCTAATGTTTCAGAGTTCATTACTTTTTCAGTGCTGTAGGAATAAACCATAGTTTTTTAATCTATTCATTTGTTGATTGGTTTCCTACGACTATTAATAATGATTTACGTTCTGTTATGTAAACATTTCTATAAAGCAAAAAGTACATTACAAAGTATACACACACACACAGACAGACATTCATCTATTGTATTAAAAAACATACTGGGATTAATCTAGAGTATAAATTTTTGTATCAAAATTTATTCTGATCACACATGAGAAAGTCAAACTAAAATGGAAGAGTAAACCCTCAAGCTAAAGAATTATCTGATCTTGACAAGAATGAAAAGAAACCAATTTCAATATAAGATCTTGTATCTAATATTAAATACTGTATCAGAATCAGCCTAACCCAGTATCACTCCTTGAATTTGATTTCATGTATTCTTTTTTTTTGGTAAGTAAATAGTGATTTGCTCTATAATTCAATATTACAGCTCTCATTACTTTTAGACAGGTTTTTCATTTAAAAAAAAACAAAGACTGACCTGGGTAATGTTTCCAAAAAGTTTCCATTTTTTGGTGAGTAAAGAGTAATGTGCAAAACCAAACTTGCCAACCACAGCAATATGCTGACCAAGTTTATCAATAGCTGAAAACTAAAAAAAAAAAAAAGAAAATATAATTGGAAAGTCTTATTTTTAAAACTTTTATTATAATAAAACTTAGTGCTGGGGTCAGATACAAAGACTATTAATAAATGTTTAAGTAATTATACATAAAATGGCAGTTTAAAATAGCGACATTTATCTATGTCATATTTGACAAAACCATGTTAACACCCTTGCATGTGCAGTATGTCTACCATTGTGAAAGTTAACAGAACAAAATCGTAACTCACCCGGATAGGCCAATTGCTCTCTAGATAGGTGCTGGAAATCTAAAGAAAATAACAGACCATCTGGTAAGGCTTCAGATCATCAACTTACTGCCACCTGAAGATTCATTTTCCTACCCATGGTTAAAGTACCCCATAATGATGACGTTACTAGCACATAGCCTGCACTGACATTTGGAAGCCAGCCAGTACTTGGTGTCTTCTGACCTAACCATTTTATCTCAGGCAGATCCAGCTTTCCTCCTTCTTCCCCAAAGTTCTTTTGTCTTAAATATTGGCCCCTCAATAAGTAAGAATCAGTGTGGATGAACAGAGTGGGGCTGTGACACTAAGGAGAGCCTAACGGTACTCTTGTTTTTCAATGGAAATATTTCATGACTTGGATGTTTTCTTGACTGAAAAAGCAATATATGCCTATAAAATTTAGGCAATTAACACACAAAGAACACCCTGAAGTTCTCCCCATTCCATCACTGCTCTGATGGCTGGTTCTTCTCTAAACAAATACCCATGCATGTGTGAGAGCTGCTATTTTTTACTGGAATGTTCATTACTCTACCAGAACCCCTTATTATGTGGCAAAAATTCATCTTTACAAAAGTAATATATTTTCCCATGCTCTCCCTCTTGTATCTTGGCATATGGTGTCTTTGGATCATCTTAACAGGAATTTCAAACTTAACTGCTCCCCAATGGGATAGCAATGTAAATTCTAGCCTCACCGGATTGTCATTTCCATGAGAATTTAGTGACAGCAACAGAACAAGGAGAGCCTTCTGCTCCGGAAGAGAAGTTTTCATTTATTTAAACTGACTTGCATCTTATGCAAAGAAAATTATTATGTATTTAAGAAAAGCCAAACTAAAAGGCAAGTGCAGGCAAATCCAGTTAATATGAAAACAAAACTCAAATGCTGACCCTGATAAAAGTTAGTCATGTAACTATTTGTTAAACTTCATCATTTGTTAACTCTTAGGCCAACTAAAATCCAAGTCAATGAACAGCTTTTCGTACACCAGGACGTCAGGCCCCTGTTCACAGGCTGGTTTGCGGAAGCCTGGCCAGCTGAATGAAAGACACAGCATGCCTCTGGAAACATGCTCAGCGGCTAGGACAATCAATAAAACGCGCTACGTTGGGTAAAATTCGTGTAGGATCAGTAAACTTGGAAGTCATGACTGGGAGGCAAAATCAGAGTTGAAAGCAATTTTCTAGCAGGAGGTAAGTAAAAATCTTTTTGGGAGAAGAAAAGGAAAGAAAAATATTCACGTGAAGAAAGATGTGCCCGAGTTTAACTGAGCCAGCCACCAGGACACTGACAGAATTCCACTCTGCCTTCTGACTCCCACCTCATCTCTACTTCTAAGCACCTGGAATGTTGGAGGTCAAGGGCAGTTAGAACCTCACCACGAAAGTGGATTCCAACATGAGGTATTTCTAATTGTGGCACCCGAAGCGGGATCCTAGCATATGTTCACGAATATAAGGTGTCACCAATGAGAAATGATTTTGTTTCAAAGCTCAAAGTACAAGTTTAAGTTGAAGCCTAGGTGCTGTGAGATCTACACAAAAACCAGATGTTCTTTCCTGGCAGGTCCCGCTGACTACGTGTCATCTGGACTCTGAGCTCTGCCTTTACCTCAGAACAGGAAAGGGCAGAGGGGAAGGAAAAGGCAGCTCAGGAACAGTGAGGATATTCATTCAGGCCAAGACACAATGACGCATGGTGCCCCTTCCTGACTAGGAAATTCCAGGACAGAAGTTACATTTTTCTTATCTGAGGCCTTTCCATCTTTCTGAAAGAGCTGGAACTGAGGGTATTTGTAGACGTCATTCTGCTAGAACCCCTCCTGTCCAGACTAGTTTCGCCTTCAACAGATAAGACTAACGGAGCCTCCCCCAAGTGACCTGATTGCTGACAGCTCAATACCAAAAATCCCAAAAATCCTCACTGGCGGGCCACCAGGCAACATGATGATAAATGGCAGAGTCTGAAGGAGAAAAGACTGAAGCTGTCAAAGACTTTGACTTGGATTCACAATCAGTACTCATGGAAGCAGCAGTCAAGAAATCCAAAGACATGCTGTACTGGGCAAGTGTGCTGTCCAGGACCTCTGTACACGCTAGAGAGCACGGATGTTAACCACTATGGGGCGGGGCCCAGCCCAATCCTGATGCTTTCAACTGCTTTGTTTGCAAATCAAAGTTGGACAATGAATAAGGCAGACCAAAATAGAACTGATGTCACTGTTGAAGAGTACTGACTATCCAAAGAACACACACATCTGACGTGGAGAAAGTGCAGCCAGGGTGCTCCTTAAAGGCAAGGATGTGGAGGCGTTATCTCACATGCTTTGGGCATGTTGTCAGAAGGGTCCAGTCCCTGGAGACACTCATGCTGGGCAAAGCGGCCTCAGTGAAGAAGACCCTCAACGGGCTCGACTCCCACGGTGACCGCACTGGGCTTATGCACAGTGGAGACTGGGCCTCAACGGGCTCGACTCCCACGGTGACCGCACTGGGCTTATGCACAGTGGAGACTGGGCCTCAACGGGCTCGACTCCCACGGTGACCGCACTGGGCTTATGCACAGTGGAGACTGGGCAGCGAAGGACGGCACTGAGTCCTAGTCAACCAGAGACACTCAACAAGAGGAACACTCCCACCTGAGACATCACACACAGTCTGGAGGTTATGAGAACAGCCAGCTGGAAATAAAAGAACTTTCTAAAACTTTGACTTAATTCTGCTCCCACAGAGTCTTCCAGGCTGACCTTTCAGAAACAGAGTGCCTAGAGGTGAGCTGGGGGGGGGGGAGGGGGCAAATTGCCAGTCTTTTGGTTAATAGTTGAGTGCTGAACCAATTGTGCTTTGAGAGATGCAGTATCTTCACTTCAGTGTCCCTAACACTGTCCCACTTGCTATCAATGCTCATCTCCCACATTTTGTGATGCTTCCTCTCCAGTCACAGACAGGTTAGCTTTCAAGGCAGCAGACCCAGCACACTGGACACTACTACACACAGCGCCCTACTGAGTCGACTCCGGCTCACAGCAACCATGTATGACAGAGCACAACTGCCTCATGGGTTTCCTCGGCAGCAATCTGCACACTGCCACATCCTCCTGCAAAGCTACTGGTGGCTTCCAATCTCCAACCTTCTTGTTAACAGCAGCTAAGCACTTTAATCACTGTGTAACCAGGGCTCCTTCCCACAGCACTATGAATACAAAAATAAATATTATTCTTCAGTAAAGGACAGAGGGTTTGATTGTTTTAAATTCCCCATTACTTGTGCTTCAATTGTCAATAAACCATTTATAAAATGGAGAATCTTTGCACTTTCAACTGGGGGGATGTGTGTAAGCCTCCTTTATTATTAGACACTAACCTGGTTTCTAACAAGTATACTTTTTTTTTTTTTTAACTTTTGTCCTAAGTTAAGGAAAAGCAAAATTAACACAGAATCTTCGAAAGAGGAGATCAGGAACTATAAAGAAGAGAAGCATCAACATACTCTCTGGATGGGGAAGAGCAGAACTCACTGGAGCCGCACAGATGCACTCGGAGCTACTCATACAAAGTACAAATCATGCAAACACGAGCCACAGTGACGGAGGAAGCAGGTGCTCACTGCAGACGAGACTTTCCCGAAGGGAGGATGTAAACCAGCCACCTGTTTCCTCGGGGAGTCACTTCCTAGCTCTGGTCTCAACACCTGGATGGTAAAGCTTTAGCATTTGAGGGACACCGTCAGCCTCTGAGGCACACCACACTACAGTGCAGCACTGCACTGAATGAAGCGACCAAGTGTCAGCTAGCAAAGAATGGGACAGCGCCAGGCGAAGACACCACCCAACAGGTGAACCTGAGACTTCAGCTTGGGTTCAGCAGCCAGTCAGACCGCTAGGAACCTGGGTCTTAAGCAGGGACGCTGCCCTTGAACTTGTAGGGTGGTATGGGTAAGTCTGTCACTGCGTTGTGTGCCTCTCGGCAAGTCACCTAATGTCCCTGAGCTTGGGTTTTCTTACGGCTAAAACCTAGTTGAAGTAGATGATATCTATTAAGGTCCTTCCAGCTCTAAAAACTCCATGAGTCTAATATAATGGAGACGTTTGGGAATACAACTCTGGTTTTACTTTTATTAGCTTTCAGAAACTGAAAGAAAAAAAAATTAGGTAAACCTAGCGCCAAGTTCATCTTCTTAAATATCTATGGATGTGTACAGAAGTTGGGAAGGAAGACTCTGGCTAGTGCCTACACTGGCTAACACCCTCCAATCAGTGCTTTTTGCTTCTTATTTGGGATGCTTCACAGGTCACCAAGAATCACTGAATTTTTGAGCTGGAAGGAAAGTCACTTTTTGTTATCGCCTGATGGATTTTTGAATTGAAGACCTACCTTCTTTGATCCTCTGCTCTACTTGGCTCTCTGGTAACACAGACCTGGCTAGGCAGAACTGGCATTGGTGCTAGGTCAGTGTAGAATGAATAGTTCAAAGTATGGGGAAATGAAAATAGCAGAGAAATGGCTATAGGAGAGAAGGGAGCAGTGGAAAATTTTAGTCAAGGAAGTAGCTGATGCAGTTTTACTTAATAACTGTTACTAATCATAAAATGGTTTGCACATTATTTGATTTTATTAATTTATTCATGTACGTTCAATACATTCTTTAGTGTACACCACATGTCAATGTAGGAAACAGGTCTTCCTTCAACCTTCCATATAACGACCATTTTTCTGTCTCTCATTACCTCCCCTCAGTCAACTGAAAAGACTATGGCAGCTGAGATGAGCCAGAAAGGTGAAAGTCTAGAGAGGAAGAGAGGTGAAGAACTACGAACTAGAAACGGGTCAAAAGAAATGCATCCAAGAGCAGCTCGGATGTCCTGAAGATGTTTTCGTACCAAAGGGGAAAGTAAACATGGCACTCAAGACTCAGAAAATGTATCTACAGGCTTCTCTCAAGGAAGGCCCGTTTATTCATTTTCCCATATTAATTTTCTCTGGTATCAGAATTACTTCCAATTTATCAAATTAACAAAAGATACTGTTATGGTTCAAATCCACCAGATGCTGTGCTGGAGAAGGAGGGGCAATCTCCTTCTGTACCAGTCAGATCCAATTTGACAGTACACACACAAAATAATAAAATAAAATATTTTTTTAAAAAAAGATACTGTTAGTCTGAGAAATTGTATTAGGATCAGTAAATAATTTGGAATAAGTAGTAAATAATTTGGAATAAATTTGGATTAAGTAATAATAAAATTCTTAATAGTGAAACTTGAGATTGATCTGGTCTGAGTCTGAAGTGGGACATGGAACCGCCCTGTGGCCTCAGTGGAAGCACAAGGCCAGCTGCACAGTTTGCACCTGACGTGGTCACTGCCCACGAAATCCCCACACGTCTGCCACGGCAGCCGCACAGGGTCGGAGCCACAAACAGCAGCTGGACAGACTACACTCAGCTTTGCTTAATGAAGGACAAAACAGAGCTTCCAGTTCTTGACTGTGACAGTGAAGGACTTAAAGCAGAGGGGACATACTCTACAGGAAGTGGCAAGAAAGGACAAGAGACATCTAAGGACAAGAGCATAGAAAAGCAGAGGAGACACAATAGTCAGAGATTAAAACGTCTGTTTCCATATAACAGTGATAATATTTCAAAATCTGCTAGGGTGACACTGCCTACGATGGAGTCAACGTTGATCAGTAACGTATGTCTTACCTGCACGACATGCCAGTGCCGATGTCCAAGCAAAGAGCTTAAGCCCTGGGACTCGAATCCTCTGTCGGCAAATGGGCTGGTCTCCCGGCTGGCCTTGTGCTTGGAGTGTGCTGGGGAAGCACGGGGGTTCTGGCCCTGGGAGGCCTCCCCACAGTTCAGGTACAAGCGATCCTCTCCTTGAAGCAGCACCTGCTCTTGGTTGCTCTGATGAGGCCCCGGGAAAGAAAGCAAAGGAGGAAAGCAAGTCACCGCCTGATGTCAAGTAGGGAAAGTAAGTGACACATCCACTCACGGTGTCACAGGAAAGGCACCATCTCAGCCAGGCTGTCCTGAGACTGGCCTCTGCCCATGTGCACAGGGGTGTCGTCTGGAGGGACAGGCCATATTCTAAGGCCCAGGGAGCAGTGTGAATGGAGCTGCTCCTCCACAGAGGTGCTGAAACATGCCAGCTGACAACTGCTGCGAGACCCTTTCATGCCAGATGGACTGTTAGCTGAGAAGTGAATGGAACTATTCAAGGTTGGCTGTTGATGCTGCTGTTATACGTTGTCAGGTCGTCTACAATTTGCAGCTAGCCTGTCAACAACGCTCTGAGCATTGCCCTGTCCTGAGTCAACCTCACCATCTCTGACACAGGTGACACCACTGCCCACAGTCACTGTGTCGATCTCATCCAGGGTCCTCCTCTCTTGTGCTGACCCTCCACCCTCTCAAGCATCATGTCCTTTTCTAACAACTAGCCTCTGAAGGTTGATGATGTACAAAATAATTTTCTAGGGTGTACGTGTGCACAAAAGTTGGCATCTTCACCCAGGTGACCACAGGCAAGAAGGCTTGAACTGTGGATCACCAGAACAGCTCCCAAACTGAGGGGCAGAGAAGAATGACCTGAGACCCTAGTCCCGGCCCACAACAACCCATAATCACTGATGAGGGTGTGACTGGTGCCAGGGACTGGCAAACATGATGGCTTCTGGAACTGGCTGTGATGCCTGGCTTTCAAAGAGAAGGCCAGCATGTTCACAGGGGCCCAGGGGACATTCAGATGCCATGGAGCAATATGCAACCTCTCCTTGCAACCTGTGAATTTGAACCTGAACGCTATCTGGACATAAACTCTTCTGCACTTTGTAATTATGCTTTTGGAGTGGAGGAGGAATGCTCTTCTCTTGTGTTGAGATGCATTAACTTTAATCATGGGACCTGAGATCCAGCCTATTTCACATTCTTTTCCAATGTGTGACCATTTTAAAATGGAGAAACTTGGTGCTTTTTTAAAAAATATAATACTGAGGGGAGCTCTGGTGGCCTAGTGGTAAGGAGCTGCAACTAGGCGCACGGTTCGAATCCACCAGATGCTCTGCCGGGGAAGGAGGGTCAATCTCCTCCTGTACCAGTCAGATCTGATTTGACGGTACACTCACACAAAAATAATAAAAATTTTTAAAAAAATTAAAAAAATATATAATACTGGTGGTAGGTATCGAGATATACGTGTAATTGTTGTGATCCACCAGAGTCAGAATCAGCTCATAGCTGAACTTGTAGCAGGTTTTCAGAGACTGTAAATCACACCGGAAGAGACTACCCATATTTCTCCCTCAGAGAGCCGAACCTGGTACCTTTGTGTTGGCATCACAATGTCTTACCACTAGGCCACCAGAACGCCTTAACATGTACTATGTACTGTAATTCTTAATCTCCATTACCAATGAGTCAAATCAGACTCAGAGACTCTCTCTAGGGTTCTGAGGCTGGAAGTCTTTTTAACAGGTGGGACTAACCACCTCTCCTACTCAGAGCAGCTGCCGGATTCTGACCAGCAGTCTGTCAGTCGGTGGCCTGACACATCACATACTATACCAGCAGAGCTCCTTACAGTCTTAATATACAACAAATACAAAATGATTGTGAGGAGTTTCTGTCATTTAGGGCAGTTTTTCAAGCTCCTGTTAGAAGTATTTAAAGTATTCCTTAGAAATCCATTGTTGAATAAGCTTGAGAAACACTGCTTTCTATGGGGTGACCTTTTATGGATTTTTATAAAGCACTAGCATATTGAAGACTCAAACGAACAACTTTCTCAGCTTTGTCACCCCTATATTTCACATCACCACGACGAGAGAACTTTTTTGCCTGGTGTAATTACTTGACACTTCTTGGCAGAAACTGGTATCGGATAAAGACTACCCTAGTGAAGTGATCAATACTGCTGTCTCTGGAACTCCTTGTGACTCTTAAAACAAAAACCACATGGCCTGCTCATGAAAAACCTTTGGCCCAAGTCTAATATAAATCACAAAAACATGTAAGAATTTCAGAAAATACACAGAAAGGGATAATGTGCTAACTGTAGAAGACCCAACAGATCTGCACCATCAGGAAGAATCTTCACTTCTAACACAGAAATCACTAAAAACACAATGCTGCATTTCAGACCCACTTACCATACAAGGGTTGACAGTGAGGACACTCTTGATGAACTGAAACAGCAGGATGCTCGGCTGTCTGACTGTGCTCTTGAGGTCAGACTCAGTGTCCATGCTCTGAGAACCACATCCACTGATCACCCACAGGTGATAGCCTTCGGCACCCCAGCTCTGGAGTGGGCGGGCGTGGGGGAGAGAGAAGAGAGAAGAATTCCTGTTATCCTCCCTTAGTTTCAGAGGCCCAAGTTCTGAAACAGCCAGCAGCAGCACTATTGAGGATGAGGTCTGAAGGCCAAGGACACCAGGACATAGGACAGAGCCACTACTCTAAATTCAAATCTTGAGCTGAACTACTGAAGGTTGGCTATGGACAAAATCTTGAATGATCCAGTAAGCATCCAAAGGTGATGGAAGAGATAGGCAATGCCCCAAAAGCACTGAGTGACATGGAACTTGCTCGGGAGTTAGCATATGATCAGGAACCAATGATGAGGGAAGATGTTCAAGGTGCACTGTTGACTGTGGACACAACAAAATGAAATAATTGACAACTTAAACCTTTTCTCCATCAATCATGATCTTGCCGACTGACTCACTGGTGGGTGACGACTGGCACTGGCAAAAAATAAGGCCCCCGAGGAATTGATTGGGTACCAATGGACAGATCTGGATATGCTCACTGGTCTATGTCAAGATAGATGGAAGACAGCTACATACCCAGTTGATTGGAGAGATCCCTATTTGTTGCCACTCCCCCCCAAAAGGTAAACAAACAGAATGCGAGAGTTATTGAATAAATCACAGACAAGTAAAATCTTGTTTAAAGATTATAAAAAAAATGGCCGGAACTGCCAGAAATTCAAGCTGGATTTAGAAGAGGCCATGGCACCAGGGATATCACTGTTGATGTTAAATGCATTGGGTGAAAGCAGATATACAGAAAGATGTCTGTGTTTTATAGACTATATAAAGGTACTTGACTTACTTGTGCTCATAAGAAATGTATACCTAGACTAAGAAGCTGTTGTTTAAAAATCATAGTTTAAAATCAAGAAAGGTGTGAATCAGGGCTGTATCTTTTCTCCACATCCATTCAATCTGTATGGTAAGCAAATAATTCGAGAGGCTAGACTACCTGAAGAAAAATGTGACATTAGGATTGGAGGAAGACTTCTCAACAGCTTGCATTATGTAGATGACACAACTTTGCTTTCTGAAAGTGAGGAGGACTTGAAAACACTTGCTACAGAACATCAATGATTACATCTCAACATCAAGAAAACAAAAATCCTCACCAGTGGGCCAAGAGGCAACATCATTGATAGAAAAAAGACTTAAATTGTCAATGATTTAATTTTGCTTGGATCCACAATCAACACTTTTGGCACCAGAGGTCAAGAAATCAAGACCTATTACACTGGGTAAATCTGCTGGCAAGGGCTCCTCCAAGGTGTTAAGGAGCAGAGTTGCCAGTTTAAAAACTAATGTGCATCTAATTCAAGACATGATCTTTTTAAATTACTTGTTATGCATCTGTAAGTTGGACAATGGCTAAGAATGACAGAAAAATCCATGCATGCCTTTGAGTTGGGGTGATAAGAGACGAGGACTGACTAGCCCATGGACTGTCAAAAGGACAAACAAGTAAGTCTTGGATAAAGTGCAACCAGGGTGCTCCTTGGAAGCAAGGAGGGTGAAACGTCATCTCACGTATTTTGGGCATGTTGTTAAGAGGGGCCAGTCCTTGGAAAAGACATCGTGTTGGGAAAGGTGGAGGAGGTTCCATGAAGGAGAGGAAGACCCTCGATGAGATGGACTGGCGCAGTGGCTGTATCAATGAGATCAAGTATAGCAGAAACGATGACGACAAAGCAAAGGACAGAGCAAAGTTCTGATCTGTTGTTCGCTGGGTCACCGAGTTGTACTCGACTGAATGGCACCTGACAACAAAGCCGCTGTTTCATCTCTGCCAGCTCTGGGGGATACCAGCCCTCTACACTCTACAGAAGAGGGGAGATTGGTGCCAATTTGAAGACCTCAACCCTAAGAAATATCTGCTGCTCTAATTTCTCCAAGAATTTGAGAGAATGTTCTCTCCAGTGCAAAGAGATTCTTTACACAGAGGAGACCAGACTAGCCCCTATGACAGACAGAGCAGGGTGTGACAAAGCATGCTGGGTAGGAAGTATGAGATCAAGGCTTGCATCCCACCTTAGCCTCATTCAGCTGTTATTATCATGGCCACCCTGTTCTCAGAGCATTATGGTTCCTGCTCGTAGAATACAAGGGTTTAAATATTTAGGGCCGTGTTGTTGCTGTTGTCAGGTTCTGCTGGGTCGAGTGTGACTCCCAGTGACCCTATGAACAATAGATCTGAACTCTGCCCTGTCCTGTGCCATCCTCATTGACTGCTGCAGTCACCATGTCAGTCAATCTCGTTAAGAGTTGTCCTCTCTTTTGCTGACTCTTCACCTTTCTAAATATGTCACTTTCCAATGAATGGCCTTTCCTAGCCACGCACCCAAAGTATGTAAGGTGAAGCTTTGCAATCCTTGCCTCCAAGGAGCACTTTGGCTGCATTTTTTCCAAGACACATTTGTTTGTTCTTTTGACAGCTCATTGGATATTCAGTGCTCTTCTCCAACACAACTCCAAGTTATCAAATCTATCATCCTTATGCATTGTACAGCTCTCAGATACACAGCAGGTTTTTGAGAAGATCATGCCCTGAATCAGGAGCACCTTAGTCTTCAAAGTGATGTCAATGCTCCTCAATACTTTGGAAAGGTCCCTGACTTGTGGTACGAAGGGTGCAGGTTATGGATCCGAGGAGGAGGAAACTGTTGACTATCCCAGTCTTTTCTCCATCTATCATGGTGCTGTTTATCAGTCTAGGAGTGAGGATTTCTGTCTTCTTGATGTTGAGATGCACTATAATCCATAGTGAGGATTATAGTCTTTGTTTTTCCGCGGCAAGTGTTTCAAGTCTTTCTCACGTTCAGCAAGCAAGGTTGTGTCATCTGTATTACACAGGGTGGTTGATGTCATCTGTATTACACCGATCTTGATGCTACATTCTTCTTCAAGAGTCCAGCTTCTTCAGTGATTTGCTAAGCATACAGTTTGACTGTTTTTGTTGCTATGTGCCATCGAGTCGCTTGCGACTCATAGCGACCCTATGTACAAGAGTCCTAAACACTGTTCTATCCTGTGCCAACCTAGCATCTCAAAGGCACTCATTCACACTACTCCACTCACAGAATTGATCCATTTCATCGAGGGTCTTCCTCTCCTGCGCCGCCCCTCCACTCTCCCAAACGACGTTCCTCTCCAAGGACCAGTCCCTCCTGGCAACATGCCCAAAGTGAATAGGTATGGAAAAAGGATATTACTCTGATGCACACTTTCCTGCTTTTTAATCCATGCAGTGTTCTCTTTTTCTGTTCGGACAGCAGCTTCCTAGTCTATGTATAGGATTCACATGAGCACAATGCAGTGTTCTGGCTCTGCCACTCTTCTCGATGTGAGGCACCGTTTAGGATCCACACAAAGACAAGTATCTTTGCATAGTCAGTAAAACACAGATAAATAAAGCCCAAGCAGGAAGTGTTCTCTGACTCTACTCCACGACAGTCTTTTTCAAGACTGGAAATCCCTAAAGGAAATAGTAACTGAGCCCATCAACTATTGTAAGATTTAGAAAATGTACTAGCATCATCATAGTGAGAGAACTGGAAGGTCAGAGAAGAAGAGAAGACCCTCA